TGTTTGAAATATGGGAGTATTACACACAAATTCCCCACCATACAGTTAAATACCCTAAAGTCTATTGATAATTTAACATAGAAAGATGCTATTTTGATTATTATTTTGCTCCGTTAAATCATCAATAAACCTTGCGTTGCCTGCTTGGCTCCATAACTAATTATAACTTAGATAGGAACAAGTTCATTATTGGCTTCTAAGCTGTAGCGCTCAACCCTAATTTATCATTTTTTCCGCTAACATACGGTTGAGACATTCATTCAATTAACGTTATAAGTGACCCAAACAGCTAAGAGGTTAGGAATATGATTTTGCTTATGCATGTGTCGTCATTTTGTTTGTAGATAGATGTCTTAATCAATTGAGATTATACATATAACAAACAAATAGGTGTGCCACCACCGTTGTTCACCTAAATCATTAAAAACCTGAAACTTTTGATGCATTAATTTGCACTTTTTTTATTTGCCCACAATGCTTTGTATATATAAGAGTTAAAGGGCAAAAATGCCTTAAAACTTTTTCTTTAAGGGCGTTTGGTATCTTAAACTTTTTTTGAAGCATTTTTGTTTTGAAAGTTTCAAAAAGAGAGCATTTTTGTTCCATCGTTAAATATAAAAAATATTAATCGTTAAACTAAAGTTTGATCAAAAATATTTTTATATTTTGCGCTCCTTCCTTTTGTGTTTAGTTTCCATTTTTTTCTTTAGTGAATTATTTCACTTTTCTTCTTTCAACAAATGAAAATGAAGACTGAAAAATACATAACAAAAGAAAGCAAAATAGTAAAATATTTTATCAAACTTTAGTTAATTGTTAATGTTTTTCATATTTATCGACGGGACAAAAATGCTCTCTTTTTAAAAATTTTTAGACAAAAATGCTTCAAAAAAATTTAGGATATTAAGCGCCCTTGAAAAAATTTCAAGACATTTTTAACTTTTAACCCTATATATAATGCACATGTGATTTCTTGATTAGTTGATGGGGCATTTAAGTTGTATTGCCTTGATTTTAATTAGTAATTGGGTGTACTCCAATGAATGAAGTTTCTTATACATCTTGTATTTGATATACAGCGATACTCACACACACACAACGATGGGGGAAAAAAAAGCCATTCACAAGGAAAAAGCAGAGGGAGCTTCGAAGAAGTGACGCGTAAAAAGAGCAACTCGGGTTTCTAGATAATGAAGTGGTACAAGAAATGGGAAAGAATTTATAGAAATAAGGTCAGGTATATTAAATAAATAAATAATAAGCAGAATATTGTTTTTATGCGGGGAAAAAACAAAAAGAGAAGGAGCTTTCAAAGTTAAGAGAGGAAGGTAGGGGTTGACCAGGGAAGGTGAAAAAGCAAATGATGAAAGGGACACTAGGCCTTCATTGAAACGGACTCCTGAAGGCTGAATGCACCATTCAGCATAAATGGTTCGAGTTGCCCTCACTCATACCTCTGCCTGTCACTTTTCTATTTCTTCCCAACCACATTCCTATTTATGATTCTTTTTCTTTTCATTCTCACTGTCTGAGTGTATATTTTTGGAAATATTCTTTCTCATCTTGTTTAACTATACATTTTAAAGTCTCACTTAGACCTTATCCGACGATATTTAAAGTCATCATTGAAAGAGTGACTTTCTATGATAATAAGTGTATGTCGTCTCCGAAAGTTTAAGTAGTGACATAGAAATTACTATTAAAAGTTTACAATCAACAGTAATTATAGCTAAAAGTTTGACTTTCGTAAAAATTAATAGTAAGTAGATCTTATCATCATAATTTTTTATTTGCTATTTAATTCATATTTAACATTTTTAGACATTAATTTTATTATATTATTGTAATTTTATAATGAATATATAAAATAATATAATGAGTTTTCATTTAATATATTTTATGATTAAATAGTAAATTTAAAATAATAAAATTATTTTAAGATAAGTTATGATATTATTTAATGCCAATGAGCCAGATTAAAAAATTAAGCCAAACAGTATTACTTTACATCAATTTTTGTTATCAAGTAACGTTTAGTTTGATTGGGTTTAACTATTTAGGCTAGTGTAGTTCAATAGTTTGGTTAATTAACACATAATCTAATTGAATTGACCAACCTTTATGTGAAGCGATAAATTTATTAAAAAAATTAATGTTTGATATTTTAATTTTGAATGCATATAATGTGATAATGAGTCTCTATTTTCAAAATTTTTATAGTTAAACTGATATTTTAAACAATAGCACTACTTGTTTGTAATAATTAGACATTTGATAGTTAAATTCATTCATTTACAAAATAATATTTTATCTAATCTAATTTTTTAATTCAAATTCTACATTTAATATCAGTAACTTTGAAGTTTGATGGCTAATGATAAGTAAGGGGAAGATGAAAAGAAGCCAAAATAAATGAGATATTCTAAAATTTTATTTTTAAATTTTATAATATATGAAATATGTTCATGCATGTGATGTTATATAATTTTTTGTTGATGCTGTCTTGCAGCACAAATGTACAAAAAAAATTAGGTAATACAGTGTATAATTTTCTTATAAAATTATAATTTAAAAATAAAAATAATTAAAAAAGTAAAATGTAATGTAAAAATAAGCCAATTACATTACTTAACAGTCATTGCTAATTAAAAGTAAAAATAAATAATTATGATCTAATTTATAGTCATCTATACTTTTATTATTTATTCTTATATATTTTTATATTATAATTCTAAATATGAATATTAAAATAAATACAATAACCTCGAGAAGTAAAAAAATTAAGAGAAATAATATAAATGATATTATATCAATTATATGTATCATTTACTTTAGACAAAATAAATAATATAATTTTCAATTTTAATAAATTAAATAAATTAAATGGAAGTATTTAATGATAATAATGATATTTTATAATATTTAATATTTAAGATATATGTGTGTTGGTTTAGTTTAATAATATATATTTAACTATGTAATAATAGATTGTAGGTTTACTTCAGTTCAGGGGCAAAATGGTAAGATAAAAAGAAAGAGGTCATGAGTTCAAATTTTGAAAGAGGTAATTTGTGAAATGAAAATATAAATTGATGACATGATGAGACGTGGAGGGTGACATGATGCCATGTGGAGAGTAACTTGGGCGACACATGGCAAGTAATGTGGCACCACGTGGAAGTGGGAGTGTGATATGGTGTCATGTGGCTTGATAAACTAGCATTCCTTTTTAGCAATGACAAAAAAGTCATCGTTGATTGATAGTTTTTGTTGTGACAAAAGTTGTTACTATTGCTCAACATTTAGTAGCAACTACATAGTTGCCATTGATGAGTGATTTCTGTAGCGATATTTGTCGTCGTTGATTCTCAACCTTCAATGGCAACATTTGTTGTTGCTAATTGCATATTTTCAGCAATGATTTTTATCATCAGTCTAGATAGAATTAGTAACAAGAGCTCTTATAATGATATTGCGGCCACTTTTTGTTGTCATTGAAAATTTTCAACAATGACTTCTAATTTTTTTATAGTGTATGTTGTCAAGTCTTAAATAAGGATCAGCTTTGCAGAATGTGAGATGGGAGTAACCTAAAAAGTACCTTTTCTCTTCAACTCGTGTCAATTCCATTTTCAAACTCTGAAAATTTTCAAAATATTTAGATCTATATATTTATGCAATTAGATGTATATACAATACATTTCGAGAGAGGTATAGGAAAAAATAATAATAAATGTAAAAATAGAGTTTGAAGCATTAACACGTATATAATCATATGCAATCTTTGTGTTGCACTTTTATTAAATTGATAATATGAAATATCTAATTCAGTGCACATAAGCTTGAATTAACATGACAGCATGAAGTAGTCATTTTCAGTAGACAGATTAATTCATGTTTCTACCCTCAGAGCAATACGGTCCCCGCAGTCATTTCCAGTTTATTTTGATTTTCGTTGCTGGCTGAACGATGTCATAGCAAGACGTTGATGGATATGGTTCAGCATCACAGAGAAAACAACAGATCATATCTTGATAAAAAAACAAAAAAAGTTAGGTGAGGTTAGACTTCACAGACCATCCGTGATCAAACCACGCATTTATATTTTACTTCTTAATATCGATAGAATGTTAAATATGAGTTGACTTGGTTTAGTATGAAAGAAAACTTTCACATCAAATAAAAAATTGAAATACATAAGTTTTTTTTTTTTAAAAAGGGATACATAAGTTTTTTTTTTTAAAAAAAAAAACCCACAAACTCAGTGACTCAAAATTTGGATTAAGACATGATATTCACTTGGTGCGTTGTCCTCCAACTGTTGGGAGGAAATATAACACACGTGTTCGCTGTATATACTTCCTACCTTGCGGTCCCTTAATGGACGTGTCAGGGTCGTAGAGTACGACACTTGAACAATTACATCACCACTCAGGTCATTCCCGTATTGGCACACGAGTAAGATCTATACACTCCACGGATGAATGGCCTAACGCCTTTTTCTTTCCCGCTTAAAATCGCAGAGAGAGAGAGAGAGAGAGAGAGAGAGAGAGAGAGAGATCTAAGGAGGTCGGGCTTAATAGATTGATCTCAGATGCAGCAGAAATTGTACTATCATATTCATGGCCTCATATGATCCTCCAACTAACATCACGTTTCCTATTTACTACTCTCAGTTTCATTTTCAAATTAAGCTCCCTGCATTGTCATATCTGGAGCAGTGCTTAATTGACTGGATCTTTTATATAATCAGCTCTTTTGGATCTACTACTACTTGCATAATTCAATATAAGACCCAAATAATTCTAATATTATACTTTTACGTACATGTGTCATATATATCCCTTGAAATAAAGCGAACCACGTAGATAGACTTACTGCAAAAGTGCATAATTAAAATGAACGGGTAGGATGCAGTTAGTTGTCCCTAGCATATTAAATAAATGATTAAGGGAAGAGGGGCTATATAATAGTGTAGAAATATAAGAGGTCCCGAGTCCAAAACGATATAATCACTGGTCTGTAAGTGAAGATCAGGTATATAGGCATGGCAGTGCTGAGAGGGTTACCATGCTGGTGGAACACAGTGGTGCGTTTGATGTTGTTGTTGTTGGGTGCTCTCTGGGAAATCGAGGGACTGGTGAAACTGCCACCGAATACGACAGCTCCACCGGCAGTGATAGCGTTTGGAGATTCAATACTTGACACTGGCAATAACAACAACATTAAAACTCTCGTCAAGGCCAATTTCCCTCCTTATGGTCAAGATTTTCAGGGTGGTATCCCCACCGGCCGCTTTTGCAACGGCAAGGTTCCGTCTGATTTTTTAGGTACTCTTTACTGATCTGTGCGTTACCTTTTTTGCCCGGAGATTGATCTCATCAGTTTAGTCACGCTACACAACTTCATATCTAGGGAAAGTGTTTTTTGTTGCTCCCCGCCGCAAACAATGGCAAGTTTCTTTTGTTGTTTTTTCTGTGGTCCTGAAAATATTAATTTATGAAACTTGGAGGTACATAGAGCTAATGGATATCATTCCTATCTTCTGGTATAATAATAGTCATATAGTAGATTTTATTAAATACTTTCAGTTAAATTTGAGTTGTTTGTGCCGTCTATTCTGATGGACTCCCCCAAAAGAACCTTCTGTTTTGGTAGTAATTCTAGACTCGTTAAAAGCTGATCTCCAGTGTGATATATTTTTTTTAATTATATATGAGAGATACTTATTTTGTAATTAATGGAATGACTCGCACGAGGGGGCAGTTGAACAACTAGGGATTAAAGAGTATTTGCCGGCATATTTGGATCCAAACCTCAAGCCAAGTGATCTTCCCACTGGTGTCTGCTTTGCCTCTGGCGCTTCAGGCTATGATCCTTTGACACCCAAAATAGCGGTATGATAAATAAGCACACACGCACAAAAAAACAGAAACACGCACGTCCCTTTTGATTATATTATATGTTTTCAGCAATTAATTTACTGAAATTGAGATAAAAAATGAATGAGCAGTCAGTGATAGCGATGTCGGATCAAGTAGAGATGTTCAAGGAATACATAGGGAAGCTGAGAGGAATAGTGGGAGAGGAGAGAGCAAAGTACATTGTGGCGAAGACTCTGTATGCGGTGGTCGCAGGAAGCGACGACATAGCCAACACATATTTTATAGCTCGCGTCAGACAGCTCCAATACGACATTCCTTCTTACACTGATCTTATGGTTAACGGCGCCGTTAATTTCTTGAAGGTTAGTTTCTTCCACTTCTTCTTCCCTCAAACACATCCTTATCCTTTACAATCTAATGATGGCTCATTATTCATCACCCTTTATGTTCTCCTATAAATTTTCATTTGGATCATGACTCATGAGTCATGACTCTATCAAATTAATGTCTTCCGAGTTATAAATAAAATGAAAATATAAAAAATGAATTAATGCAAAGATGAAAGAGGGAAAAAAAATGAAAAGGATAAATAAAAATATAAAAATGGTTCTCATGTACTCTATATAATGTCACTTTCCGTGCTTCAAGACTCATCTTTTTCATCATTTTAGAATATTTAAATTCATTTCTGGTAACAGATTTGGATCCTGTTGGGTACACTCAACAGCTCAAATCCAATCACTTGACGAGCATCTCATATAATACAATAACAACTGTTTAATTTAATGAAGTGACTTAAAAAAATTTGGTTATATAAATTCATGAAGTGTCATTTGAGATTTTTGAAAATGACAACACATATGATAAATGCTTTAATTATGATGATATATCATGATCATTTCTAAATTTGTTTTAATTTTTTTAAAAAAGATATATCATGATCATTTCTAAATAATGATAAATTTAATTTAATGACTGTAATTCAAATATTAATTGCGTGAATTAATTTGTCACTCAAAATCCAAATCTGTTAGGGTTTTAAGTTATTTGTATCCACGTGTATGAAGAATCCAAAGTCTAAATTATGCCCAAAAAATATTGAATTTTAATATTCTCTAAATATGTAATGATTGTAATCATGTTTCTAAGCCCCGATCTCATCACTCTTGATATCCTTGTTTAATTTAATCAAATTGGCATTCGGGGTGAAATTTAAAGAATTCAGATTTAAATATACACTAAAAAATATAATTGAACTTCAAAATTTGTTAAGCAACATTTATATATATCAAATATAAACTATTAAAACGTAACCTGTGTGATCTAGAAGTCGGGATGGCATGTGAGGAATAGTGAAAAGCCAAATTAAATAGCTTTTAGTTATAAATGCAAATGGAATGGTTTGAAAGTGAATGTAAAAGGGCTAAAATGTTGATATACAAAAAATGAAGGAAATATATGAACTCGGGGCAAGGAGGATCGCAGTGCTGAGTGCTCCGCCAATCGGATGCGTGCCATCACAGAGAAATCTGGCGGGTGGGTTAGTAAGACAGTGTGCCGATAAATACAACGAAGCAGCCAAGTTATTTAACTCCAAAATCTCCAACCAGATCGATTCCCTAAATCGCCTTTTGCCTGACTCCAGAATCGTTTTCGTTAATGTCTACGACTCTTCCTCGACATCATCCTCAACTACCAAAGATACGGTATGTTGTATTCATCAAACGAAACAATAGTGTATCATTTCCATTGATTGATTTTAATTTTATAAATTTGCAGGGTATAAAGTGGTGGATAAGGGGTGTTGTGGTACCGGAAGTATTGAGGTTGCCGTGTGTGTGCAACCATTTGGCTCCCACGTGTTCCAACGCTTCCAATTATGTGTTTTGGGATAGTTATCATCCTACTGAAAATGTTTACAAAATTCTGATTGATCAAGTTCTCCAAACATATCTCCCCCGTCTACTTGCTTGACCCTTTCATCCCCTCACCTTGTTCTTTTCTCTTCCTTTTAATTTCCCCACTCATCCTATATTTTGAGTGGACCTTTGTTTGTCTCCTATATCTTCTCTAATATGTATCCGTTCTCTCCTTCTTGTTTTAACTGATTAATAAATCAGAGCATTCATCACTCTGAGATTAATATAACATATGTATGTATGTATGTATCTGTTTGTCTTAATATATATATATATATATATAGTTCATTAAATTTCGTTAGAGGATCGTTATCTTTCATTATCAAATTAACATCATTGCCTTCATGTGCCTTCAATGACGTCTAAAATCACTAAAATTTATTTTTTTTACAATTAATATTCATTCTCTCGCTCCTTTTCTTTATTTTCTCCCACTAATATTCAACGATCAAAGATTTCTTTAGAGAACCTTCAGTCTCGTTCTCCCGTCAAGTACCCTAGCTCTCTTATAGAGCTCTATTATTTTTTCTTTTGCATTAAAACGCAAGTATGTTTGTATATGAAGAGTACAGTAAATGGATAGTGATTTTTTAACTTGTTAAATGAAAGAGATCGACTAATATAATAAGGGAGCCATTGCCATTAGAAGTATAGCTAGAGATCGAAGTTTGTTTATATAATTCCCCTCTCAAGATCAAAGTAAGGATTCAGTTACTTCAACGAACAACTGAATCACGAGCTATTATATCGTCGAGGCTTGTAAAAAAAAAATAAAAATTAGAATGAACCCCATCATATTTATACGAAATTTAAAAATAAGTTATATTATATTATTTACAACACT